TAACAGGTTCTGACCTTTCAGCTTTGAAATGCACAGATTGTGGAGTGATAGCGTTTCATGCTTTTATTGTCCATTTAAAAGCGCAAGCACTTGAGACAGATGTGTTCTGACTACTTTGTGACACAGGAAGTCCATTAAAGTGTTTGGTCTATGTCTTTACCACAGGAAGCTAGAGCAGTTGAACTGTTCTTGTGGGTGGAGAGCATGTGTTAGCACACTAATTACATTACTGAGTTAAACTGACCAATTAACCTGGAGAAAAATAACCCACGCTTTGCTCTGCAGATGCAAATACACTTCTGAATACACTTCAATGGGAAAGAATTTGAAAGCATGTGTCTTTCAAATAACAGTGCTTAATTTACATGGAGGCAATGGCAAGACCAGTGCAGATTTGGCAATGTAATTATGCAGGGAGCCATACTGGCTGATAACTTCTACCATGTGACTTGCACACTGAAAACAATTCAAGCATGGAAAGGAAGGGACAAACAAAAACAAGTCCAGACAGGAAACTAAACTCTCTATGCTCAAAGGCAGTCCCTGGCATCACTTTCCCTTAAAGGTCACCAAAAAGGCAGCAACCCTAAAGACGTAAATGAAACAGCTGGTTTTCATGTACCTTCCTCTATAACGTTTAAACCAATGCAACTGATGAAAACTCCAATTAATATATAAATACAAAAAATATATAATTATTACAATGTAAGCTGATCAAGACATAAATATCATGACCAATTCCTCTGCCGATTCATTACTGTGAATGTGAGCTGAACCATCTTCACCTTTTATCTGGCATGTGCTTTAAAAGCAAGTTTTACAGCCGAGCTGCCTAAATGTATTTAGAGATAGCATTGAATTTACCTGTAACGTACTTGGTCATCAAAACCTGTATGTTAACAGCTGTGCGTTAGTTAAAGGGATGGTTCACCCAAAAATGAAAATTTGATGTTTATCTGCTTACCCCCAGGGCACCCAAGATGTAGATGACTTTGTTTCTTCAGTAAAACACAAACAAAGATTTTTAACTCAAACCATTGCAGTCTGTCAGTCTTATAATGCAAGTGAATGGGAATCACAGCTTTGAGAGTCAAAAAACATACACAAACAAAACCAAATTAAACCCTGTGGCTCGTGACGATACATTGATGTGTAAAGACACGAAACGATCGGTCTGTGCAAGAAACTGAACAGTATTTATATCGTTTTTTACCTCTGATTCACCGCAATATCCAACTGTCCTGAGCGCGTTTTCGACAGCCGACGCGTCTTCTTCTTCTTGCTTTACGGCGGATCGCAAACTTATAAGTGCATTACCGCCACCTATCTCTCAAACAGACCATTGACACTATCTACAATCTCAATAAGCAGTGTCAATGGTCCACTTGAGAGATAGGTAGCAGTAATGCACTTATAAGTCTGCGATCCGCCGTAAAGCAAGAAGAAGAAGACGCCTCACCGGTCGGCTGTCGAGAACGCACTCAGGACAGTTGGACATTGCAGTGGATCAGAGGTAAAAAAACGATATAAATACTGTTCAGTTTCTTGCACAGACCGATCGTTTCGTGTCTTTACACATCAATGTATCGTCACGAGCCACAGGGTTTAATTTGGTTTTGTTTGTGTATGTTTTTTTGACTCTCAAAGCCATGATTCCCATTCACTTGCATTATAAGACTGACAGACTGCAATGGTTTGAGTTAAAAATCTTTGTTTGTGTTCTACTGAAGAAACAAAGTCACCTACATCTTGGGTGCCCTGGGGGTAAGCAGATAAACATCAAATTTTCATTTTTGGGTGAACTATCCCTTTAACCTCCTAGTTAGTGATGGCCTCATGTGTTACGATTCAAACCAGTTTGGTGATATTCGAACAATGGAAATTAAAGAGCGCACAAAGAAGATTGTTTCAAGTGAGAACAGTTTTCGGATTTCCCCCCAAAAAACTGGTTTCCAATATCTCATTCACTCAAGCCACACAATACAGCGCTGCATCTTTTTCAGTCTTTTTAATGGTGTGACCAAACGCATCTGCGGCTCAGACTCGGGTCTGTCGGAGGGAAGACAGCAGGAGTGGGAGCAGGTTGAGAGCGGGCCGGTGCTCCTGAATGCCCAGCGCCACCAGAGCCCCAGCCAGCATTGAGGTCACTTTGGGCAGCAAGGGAGGACGAGCCTCCATAACCTGCCAACATAGATAAAACACTCAGATTAAACCAGAGATGACACGATAACATGTTGTTTTTCAATCAGAGGGCCTCAGCAGATGTACAAGGGGACCGCAGGATGGCTTAAAGGGATAACTCACCCAAAAATGAACAGTCATTTACTCACCCTCAGGCTTTTCCAAACCTGTATGAGTTTCTTTCTTTTGTGGAACGTAAAAGAAGATATTTTGAAGAATGCTGGTAACCAAAGTTGCTGATATTATTAAATTTTTTCCATATTATGGAAGTAAACGGGACCAGCACCAACATTCTTCAAAATATCTTCGTGTTCATTAGGAAAAAAAAGTAAACAATGACAGATTTTTCATTCTTTGGGGGGGTGAACTATCCCTTTAAATGTACTTCAATTAATAAATTATTATTAATATATGAATAATCATACTCTAAATTAAAGTGTTAAAAATTTTTTTATGAAAATATTTATTTCCTAATCCTCAATAACTATTGGTTTTATTGAAATACAGTTCTTAATATAATTAATTAATATAATAATAATTAATAATTAGTTCTTGAAACTTATGGAATCACAGAATTAATTTTGTTGAACTAATTTCATACCATTTATGTTAATCGTTTGAAAAGAAGCTTTGTCATAAGTATCATTTGAATTTTATGTTGGCCTTCAAGTCAAAAAGGTTGAGAAATACCGCAATTAAGTGACAAGCGTTAAAGGTTATAATACTGGTTAACTCGACTTAACCATTTTTCTGATAACTTGGTTTTTTGGGTAGCTCTCACCACAGTAAAATCTCAGTGTAAAATCTTGCTCCATATCTTCTGATTCTATGCGATCGTAAAGCAGTTTTTCAGCTTTCAGTATCTCTTCAGTATCTCCTTTTTACAAACAAGTCTACTATATTTCAAATTAAGGGTGGTACTTCAAGTTTAGAGAACTTCCACTTTTAAACAAATCATTTCAAATAATGAGGCTGCATTAGAAATAATCCTTATTTTGTCTGTTTGATTGAAAGAGCTGTACATTTTCCAGCATTCTCTATATTTATGTTGGGGAGTAACTAGTTACATGTAAAGGAATTACGTAATTTAATTACAAAATAAATGTTACAGTAATCAGTTACAGTTACTGAGAAAAAATGTGTAATTAAATTACAGTTACTTATGAAAATGTTAACGATTACAAAGCGGGTTACATCTGAATATTTTCACACACACACACACACACACACCCATATACAGGTTTAATTGATTTCTTTCCCAAATTGCAGTGACTGCTCTAAAATATGAGACAGCAATGTTACAGGAGTTTAGTACACGTTTATACGATTACTGTTTTATTTGCTAATTGGTTTTATGTATATGCTTTATTTTTTTAAGATTAACTGTTAGATGAATGTTTCCAGTAGGGCTGTGTATTGGCAAGAATCTGGCGATACGATACATATCACGATACAGGAGTTGCGATGTGATATGTTGCGATACATTGCGATACTGTAAGCAAGGCGATATATTGGGATATTTCTTAATTTAGGAATAGGAGAATAGGATATCATTTTAGGAAAACTGTCATTTAGAACACACCACCATATGCAAACAATAAATAAATAAATAGAAATTATTTAACCTGATATTTAATCTGCATTTGCAATAATCAGTCCCTGTAACATTCAAAGTTATTGAACCACTTTTTGTGCAGTACGAGTAGGAGGAAAAATTAAAGTGCTTGCAGGATCCTTTAGTTAAATGTATAATATGTATAAAAAGTATTTTATAAAAAGACCATATACATTTTTAGACCCTGCTTTAAAGTTTCACAGTTTAAGTTTACAATTGTCATAACTTTTTGATCTGAACAAAATAATTGCATCTGCTTAATATCAATGAAAAATAAAGTGCTTGCAGGATTCCTAATGAAAACAAAACAATTGTAAAACAATAAAATAAATACAGATGTTGAACATTCTCAGAACCTTTCCACCTGGATTTCTCAGGTTTTTTAGTTTGTATTTATGTTCCGCGTGGAATCGCCGAGGCCATGACGCGAACACCGCCCCAACTGCACAAATCGCCCCCAACACGAGAGAAAGCTGCAGCCGTGCAGCGACCCTACCGCCCGCCGCGAGGCTCTTCACACGGGACGCGGCAAGTGGCGGAACCGAGGCGGCGCCCGCGCCACGGCCCCGCGGTGGACGTTACCACAAAAGCCCAAATGACGCCACATTTCAGCTTTGTACACTGAAACAGGAACTGAGACAATTCTTTCATCCTCCATTACTAGCAGCGAACTATATTAACGCCAACATTAGTGGCGTGCCCTAATGCTAGTATTTCCTGTCACTGTTTAAGTTCAGAGATGAAGACTGCCATCTAGCGGTCGGGATATAAACTCAAAACGAAACGACTGCCATGAATCTTGTATGATTTTTATTTTTTTTTTTACAAAAAATATCGATATTCCGTT